ACTGGTACTGGTACTGATATTGCCAACTCCCAGTTACGCCCAAGAGTTCCAAAAGACCTCTTCAAAAACTCTCCCCTGGTATTTCCCTAATTTACATATATTTTTTATCATTCAAAAAAAAATTGCAATCTACTTTTGTTGATTTAGTTGTTACATTTATTTTTTGTATTTAGTCATTATCGTTTTTTCACAAAGCTAATATTGATGTTGATTGAGTAAAATTTGAATTTGAATACAGATTGTGCTCTCTGGTTTTGGGACTGGTGAACAACATTTGACACATACAACAATAATGTGTCAAAATATCTTCCCTCCTATTGACATTAAAATAGTAAGTATTTCTTTATCTTTTTTTCTTTAAATGATTTCTATCAGGCTTAATATTTTATAAATTTGAAGAGTAATAAGTTATAAAATTTATTTCATTTTGCGTATTATATATATAAACTCGATTTTCATTTTTTTTAAGGAATGGAATCCACCACAGAAAAAGAATTAAAAGGACCATTCTATGTTTATTTTTCAAATTGATGGGTAGTATATGATGTCAAATTGCTTACAGTTGTTTTCTACATATCCCAAGATTTTGCATGTTCTTCCCTCTATATAGTGCAGTACATTTTTTTTCTCACGTTGGGTGTGGCAAAGATGGATACACAGATGCTGATATTGATAAAATTTGCAAAGAATGGTCTTCTTTTGTGGCAACCTTTATTTTTCGGTGGTATTTTGTACTGGCAAACAATATTTTCGGTAACTTAGAAATGTTTGTTAGTATTTCACATATTTTTTATAAATTGTTATTGCATTTACATAATGCTGATTTTGTTATAAATTTGCTTGGGAAATAAAATTAAGTCATTTTTGTATGTATTTACACTATTCATGTCACCATTTTTGGCTATTGAACGACATTGCTACAGGTATAGTTCATAGCTATTTTCCTACGAAATAAGTTTGTTACAAATTCCGTTGCGAAGGTCCTACAGATTCCGTAACAAACATTTACTAACGAAGAATTTTGCTAATGGTTCCGTAGCAAATTCCGTCTCTAATCATGTTTAACTACGGATTATCATGTTTTAACTACAGAATTTTTCCGTAGTTATTTTGCTTTTTTCTTGTAGTGTCTAAATTAATTCTCAACCATTTCTAATTAATTTATTAATCGAATAATAAAATAATAAATTATATTCTCATTCTCTAGAGGTTGTTCCTAGTTAATTCTAGATATTAGGGCAACCCAAAAAGGATTTGCTTTTATTCATAAGATATATTATACCAATTTAGTTAAGACCTTAGACACATTAATCTAACAATTACGACGTCTGATGAAGCGTCGGGATGGGCATATCATACGTCATGAGCTCAGTTGTAGGGACTCATAGTAACATTGAGAGAGTTCTAAAACATTTATGTATAAGTTGAAATAACACTTATATTCAGTAAAAACAAACCTTTTGTTTTAAAAGTACATTTATATATAAACTGAGAAACCATTTATATACACTGAAAACATACTTTTTGGTATAAAAGTACATTTGAGTCAAACATTACAAACCTGTGAACTTACCAACATTACGTTGACACTCTTTCAAAATGCATGTATTCTTAGGGATTTAACAAAAGATGAAAGCCATACTGTCAGATTAATCATGGGATTGTATTTTACCTAGTATAATTTAATAGTTTCCTACTATTGAGGGTGTTATGTATTCTCAAACATCCTTGTACCCCTAGACTAGGGACTATGTAATTTTTACTACATGTAATAAAAGTTCCTACTTCATGGTATATTGTTGCATTGTTCGATGTATGCAGATTAAAGTAGTCCATGTCGTCACATCATCCGGCGTTTCCACCGCCAGTTGGGGGTATGACACCATTAGTGGCTGAATTTTGCTGATGAAGTTGATGTTGAATATGAACGTGAGATGATAGTGCGTGAATAGAGAGAAAAGGTATGGTTTCGGGAAATTTGAGAATAGAATCTTTTAAAACTGGTGATTGTCATTGTTGTTTACAGAGTAAAGTAGATAAAGGGGAGACTTCAATTTTTTTTGGTATTTCGTTTTTCCCCCCTTAACTATTAAGGAGGGGGGATGTGTATTCTTAAAAATATTATAAAACGACAATAATTTTAGGACACTAAAAAATGCGTGTCCTAAATTCTCCAAATTTTGGGAGAGATGACATTACTTTTACGACACACACTATTGTGTGTCATAAAGCCAGTGCATGCCATTAAAGGCCTACAGGCAGTTTACTTTAGTTTTTACCCATTATAGAAACACACTTATATATTTTTACTAATCACACTAACCCACCCCACCACACAAAGCAACACTTAGAGAGACAAACACTCATACACACACAATAACGTATTCTTCTTATAAAGAGATAATCGCAATATTTAAAACTATTTAGGTCGGATTAAAATATATCTATTTTTTACGCTTTGTTCTAAATCTATAAAAACTCACAAGGGTGCTAAACAAAGAGATTTGAAATGAAATACATAAATCAAGAACGGAAAATAAACATTATGCTTAAGAACAAAGTAAAAATAATACATTATCTATCTATCTATCTATCTTCTATACTTATAAAGCTAGCATTTTTCCTTGAACCTCATGCATTTGAAACCCCCACAAAATTTTCCAAGCACCTCATGCATTTAAAACCTCCTATTTTAATGAATATCATTCAAAAGTCTCTTAATAATGATTAACAATTCAAAGGTTTTATAACTTATATAATATATTTAATAAACAATTAATGGATAATCTACTATAAAAAGGTCAATCTCTTTGAGTAGACACACAAATACAAATCACATACAAAATTACAAAGAAAACATGTTTAAAGTTTTTTTTTTTGGTTTGAGGGCTTTAGACCATTTTTTGAGCCATGTTATTATGTTGAAGTTTTTAATTTGTAAGTTTTTTATATACTAATTCTATATTTTCTTCGTTTAAGTATTCTTTTAAGACAATCATTGTATGTTGTGGTTGAAATTGTAATGTAAATTAGATTAGATCCATGTTATCGATCATATGTTATGGAAGGTGATATAGATAATATTTAATTAAATATTGTATATATGTTTGTATGTTTGTGTTGCTTCAAAGAAATAATTAATTAAAAATCATGGATATGTCATAATATCCATATTATCCATGTAAGTCTCTTTTAAAATGCAAATTGTCTATCTTATCATTTTATATTTATTATATGCTTAACTATTTAATTATAATAATAAGTGCTATTTAAATGTTTTCTTTCACTTATTAATAATAATAAGTGGTTTTAAAATTAATGAACAATACTTATAAATAATAAAATCAAATTATAAAAATCATAGATATGTCATATTATACATGCAAGTCTCTTTTGAAATGCAAATTGTCAATCTTGTCACTTTATTATTTAGTATATATTCCATATTCAAATAATAATATTAAGCGTTTCTTAAAATTCTTCTGTAACTTATTAATAATAATAAGTGGTTTAAAATTAATGAACAATTATTTTAAATGATAATAACATCAAATTATAAATTACATAACGTTAGCTACAAATAAATTATACTTTAAATTAACATCATAATTGAAATTAGAAAATAATCGCATAAATAAAAATTTAAAATAATCAATCATAACAATTGTTAAAAGTAATACTAAATAGATAAATATATTTAGTTCTATTTATAAGGAAGGTGGGTTGATGTCAATGAATATTATTGTTCAAAATAGTTGAGATTTTATATATAAATTAGTGTAAAAACAATATGTCAAAGTTAATGTCAATAACTTAACCATTATAAACATATATTTTTCAATATTCTAACAATATATTGTCAACCTGTGCCACGTAACGTGCGGGAATTCGTCTAGTACTATATAATACAAGAAACATTTTTCCCTTCACCACATAGATTTAAAACTCCCATGACTTTTTAATTTCTTTCTAATAATGACTATATTGATTAATAATGTTGAAGAAGTTCAAAACAAAAGTAAAACCTCTACCTTGATATAAAATTAAATATTTAAAGTTAGTTAACAATACTATTTAATTATAATAAGTGGTTTTATAACAAAATTATAAAAAAAGCATTTTTCCCGTTACAACCATGACTTTTCAATTTCATTTTAGTAATGATTATATTGATTAATAATGCTGAATAGGTTCAAAATAAAAATAAAACTTCTACCTTTATATAAAATTAAATATTTAAAGTTAGTTAACAATACTAATTCATTATAATAACTATAATAAGTGGTTTTATAATGAATAAACAAAATGGTTTTAAATAATTCCATACAAATGTTCGTCTTATAATTTTTTTAATAGTATATAATATATATATATATATATAT